AGAGGAGGGATGCTAGAGGAGGGATGCTAGAGGAGGGATGCTGGAGAAGGGATGCTAGAGGAGGGATGCTAGAGGAGGTATGCTAGAGAAGGGATGCTAGAGGAGGGACGCTAGAGGAGGGATGCTAGAGGAGGGACGCTAGAGGAGGGATGCTAGAGGAGGGATGCTAGAGGAGGGATGCTAGAGGAGGGATGCTAGAGGAGGGACGCTAAAGGATGGATGCTAGAGAAGGGATGCTAGAGGAGGGATGCTAGAGGAGGGATGCTAGAGGAGGGATGCTAGAGGAGGGATGCTAGAGGAGGGATGCTAGAGGAGGGATGCTAGAGGAGGGATGCTAGAGAAGGGATGCTAGAGGAGGGATGCTAGAGGAGGGATGGTAGAGGAGGGACGGAAGCATTGCGGCAACATGTGGGGTTATATGTGGCTATGAGCAGGGATACAGGGGATGCTGCGATACTGGTATGCTGGGAGGCTGGTATGCAGGAATGCAGGGATATTGGGATGCTGGGATGTAGGAATGCAGGGATATTGGGTTGCTGGGATGCAGGAATGCAGTAATGTTGGGATGTTGGACGGTTGGGATGCTGGTATTCTGGGATCTTAGGATGCTGAACGGTTGGGATGCTATGATGCTGGGATGCTGTGACGCTGTGTTAATTGAATGAATCAGTAGCAGTGAGTGAGAAGGAGCTCTCTACCTCTCCACCTGGCGCCTCTACTCAGCACTACAGCGCTAACGTTGAGCTGCTGCAGGGTGCAACACACACACACACTATATATATATATATANAGCTGATGAAAGTACCATGCAGGCATATAACTACATACCTGCATAGGTGTGCTAGCTGAGGAAAGTAACATGCAGGCATATAACTACATACCTGCATAGATGTGCTAGCTGAGGAAAGTACCATGCAGGCATATAACTACATACCTGCATAGGTGTGCTAGCTGAGGAAAGTAACATGCAGACATATAACTACATACCTGCATAGGTGTGCTGGCGTAGGAAAGTAACATGCAGGCATATAACTACATACCTGCATAGGTGTGCTGGTGTAACGACGTCTATTATACGCGTACATGAATTAGTTGAGTGGA